GTTTACTTTTCACTTTTAAAACGCGTACAGTTAAAATTCATTTTATCTAAAGGTATTTACAATCAAATTTTTAACAATGAATAGAAAAAGAGCGATTACTAGCATAATTAATAATAAAATACAAGTAAATATTCTTCTGACAGATCTACTCGTAAAAAAATTAAGATTATACTGTTATTATAGTGAATGTAATGGTAATTTTGTGGATTCACGTACAAATGAGCTATATTATCTAAAAGATCAAAATTCAGCCAATAATTCTTCTAGTGAATTAACCATGAATTGTGGTATAAATATGATTTAAGAAAATAAACTTGAATCAGTTATTGTTTATAAATCATCTATATCAGCTTTCTTATATCAATTTGGTCAAATTCAACAAAATATATAAGAAGGCAAAACATTAGATGAATCTGAATTTATCTTCTTACCCAGAAGACCTAAAAGATATGCATATACTAATTATCAGATTTCAGTTGCTCAACTTCTTTTAGATCATAAAGATTCAGTAGATGAAGGAATAGAATTCATAACCAATGATCAAAATACTGAGTTTTTTTTAGAGGATATTATATTAACTAGTGATGAGGAGTGTTTTAAATTTAAAGACTACTTGTGTCCTGGTTTTGAGCTATTTTATGATCCAATTATCACAGAACTGACGAATGATGACCGATTTTTATGGATTTTAATCTGGATTATGAGTTTTCAATTAAGATTTAACCTTTCAGAAACAGCTACAAAATCGTTATTAAAATTCATGAAATTAGTGCTAAAAGAAATTAGTGATACTAATTTAATAAATTTTCCAACACTTTATATCTTATAAAAAAGGTCTTTAACCTTAAGGACTGATTTCATAGCTTTGCTATATATCTAAAATACCACAAATTATACAAAAAGTAAGAAGTGAAAGACTTATCTGCTATCACGAAATACTATCATATAGAATATCTAAATTCAAAAAATCGCAGAACACCAATTATGTTAAGCAGTTTTATCTCGACTAATAAGATTATTAAATAGTCAGGTTTTGAATCAACTGCTTCTAATTTATTTATTTGCCAGTATTCAAGAACAGTTGGCATCCATGTATTGTCATTCTGGCTTTGAAAAATCATTACGTTATTGGGTAAATTAGGTATCTTTCGATCAAATTTTAGCTGATGTTTATAATGGATAGGTCTAGAAAATGCTAAAGGATTAAAATTCAGCCAATTTTTTTCAAGCTAATATAGCTAATTCGCATCTTAGGTTAATGCTCAATTTAGATTAATTTCAGCCATATGAAAGTACAATGTATAGTACTGGTGTTATATATGATGCATATATAATTTGCCACGTGATGTCCGATTTAAACGAAAAAACTTGTTGATAATTGGCCTTTTACTGGGATCACACAAAGTTAGTTTACACAAAATAAATCATTACCTTGTCCTAGTTGCTAACGAATTAGAGACACTTTAGACTGGAGTGTCTTTAAAATGCACATTTGAATTTTCAAATAAAAGAGATATTTGAGCGACATTGATACTAACTTCATGTGATTTTCCTGCTGCTAGAAAAATATGCGGCCATATATTGGCATTAATTTCATGCTATAGATGTGAGAAGAAGGCTAATTATGAGAATTACCAGCATAACTTTGCTAATATGAACGACATGACCGAATGGTTTGTCACTCAGAATTCATCCTTGCATTGTCAAGATGCAATAAGATAAAGACATTGCAAATTGAACGCTGCTAGGAAACAATTTGTAAAACAAACTGGTGTGAAATGGTCTAAGTTGCTTCGTTTACTATACTTTGATCCTATTCGTTTTATAATTATTGATCCAATGCATTGCCTATTTTAGGCATTGCGAAATAGATTGTTAAGTAAATATGGATCAATGAGGGAATACTAACACAAACAGACCTTAATAAAATCTAAACGAAGATGAACGAATTTTATGTTCCATCTGATTTGGGTCAAATCCTGAGTAAAATCAATTGCGACAAAGGATTCTCTAATTTTACAGCCGATCAATGGCAAATTTTTTTCACTATTTATGCTACAGTTGCATTTTGGGAGTACCTTCCTACCAAAGATCGGAAAATTCTTACATATTTTATAAGAGTTTGTGCTATTTTGATGAGTTGAATTGTAGAAGTCGACCTAATGAGAGAGGTTCACCAAAATTAATTGAAATCGTTAAATTAATCGAGGAGCACTATAGCCAAAATAAGATGATTCTAAATCTCTACTTTTTGCTTTACTTAAGCCTCTTTACGCATTCTGATACTTTTTATTCAAACGTATGAATGGCACTTTAGGTAAGTTGAAATCTAGTTTTCTTTGAGTTAAAGTTATTTTTAATAATTTAAAATTTTATATCAGGTTCTTTGCCAAACAGCAATCAGCAAATTGAACCAGAAAATATGTGTCAATTAACAATCAATAATCAAATTAGTGATATGATAAGTTCTAGAATACAATAAAAAGTCTCAAACTACTTCATAATCAGCCTGCTATTAGTTTCTTATCAGAAATCAATCAATTCTCATCAGGTGAGATAAATCATTTTTGGCTCAACTTAAGAAATATCCAGGAATTAAGAATTACTGGTAGTGAACCATTTTCTAGAAGTATACTGAAACTGGCTTCCAATAACGTCCTCTTTTTAAGCTCAATACTTGATTTGATGGTAGAATATTATAACGCAATATATGAGATGCTCAATTTTTGAAAACCATTTGGAGAAGGTATGAAAGACGCAATAGTAATTCAGATTTTAATTGACAAATTCAGGTGATGCTAAATCGGGTTAAAAGTTTTTGGATCTATAGTGTTAGCATAATACATGAATAGTTCATTTGTTTTGGCGAAATTTGTTACAAATAGTGATGGTATTGATACTTATCTAGGACAAATCCAATATTTTTTCACTCATACGGTTGATTTACCGAGTGGACTAAAAAAATACCATTTGGCTTATATTTAGTGATATCAATATACAAATTCAGTAAACACTAAATATCATTTCAATATTGATGATGAGAAAAGATCGTGTAATGTTGTAAATATTAGTTTCTATCCTGAAAGTCAGAATTGTATTTTTCTAGTTCACAATATCCTTGGTTGGTTTGTGCCTGTGAAGTACAAATTTTTATCTCAAAAAAATGCTAGAGAGTATTTGGCTGTAAATCTGATTAACCAAAAGCTTAACATTTATTAAATCATGTTAAACTGATATCAAATAAATTTTTATAAAATATTTATTGGTTAAAATTTATTAAGTTTTTATCATTTTATCAGATCCCTTAACATCAAAAATTTGGTATAATATTATTTTACTAAATTTTTTAACATCAAAAATTTGGCATAAAATAACTAATCAGCTATCAAACGTATAAGTCAAATTTCAGCTGAATTTTGGTTAATTGTTAAATTCAGTCGAAATTAAGTTAAAATTTCTTATCAGCCAGTCTGAAACTTAGCCGATTTGTCATATGGTCAAAAATTTTGATTTTGACTAATGTAAATATATACACTATATATTTTTTCTTTAAATATACGCTCTTGTTTAGTTTCAAGCATATAGAATTCATATAGAAATTTCTCTTTAAATGCATACCCTCTTTAAATGCATATTTTTTAAAATTTTTACTAAGATTCTGAGAGGATGCATTTAGAGAAGGTTAACTGTAATTATATAAAAATATTGAATATCTAATTATCAATAAATTTTGTTTTTATTTTTAAGTAATAATAAAAATTATTTTTTATTTATTAAAGTAATTATAAATAATTTTTACAGTTTATTAAAAAAGGCCTTTTTTTTATAATACATCAGATAGTCTTAAACATTTTATGCAAAAGTATATATATAAATATTTATATATTCTATATCTTATAATTATATTATTAATTAGATCTATAATATACCTCTTTTTATAAAAGCAAAATTCTTATTACTTTATATTATCAAGATATAATTTAGTAAGTTTTTATATTTCAAATTCATTTCTTAATATTATTTCATACTTTTTTTACTAATAAATTCTCATATTTATTATTATTTAATTAAATATCCTTATTATTTTTAAATATAATTTTATTTTTAAATTAATTGTAATATTATCATTTCATTTCCTATTTGAATTTATTATATATTTTAAGATTTTTGAGAAATACATCAGCAAAATTATATAAAGAATTATATAAATTATATAAGAAACTGTGTATTTTAGAAAAATTAGGTAAAGAGTTATAATAGAAATCAAATAATAAGTTGGAATTATTATATAGTCTCTGATAAAAAGAATGATAGAAAGTTTTTTTGAATAATAAAAGTTTTAATAAATAACTTTCAAAATTTTTTTTTATTCTCAAATGCTTTTGATTAAGAAATTATACACTCAAAAATTAAAATATAAAAAGTATTTTTCTTTTCTATCAATCTGGATTTAAATTCAAGTTAAAATATTAAAAAATTAGAAAGTTAGCCTTTCTTCATATTAATTTAACTTTATACTTTCTATTTTCTACTTTTTTAGTTAGAATATATTATTTCTATAATTAGTATAGTAAAACTTTTTATTATCTTAATTTAATGATCAAACATTCAAATTTAATCTTATTTTACAATCACAAAAATTTTATTCAATTAAAATATGCATTGTAAACTTCAAATAATACATATAGCATTCAAATTAGTAATACATATAAAATACTATATAATTGTTTATACAAATCTTTTTAAAAAAGTTAGTTATATAGTAAAAATTATATTATTATTTTTTTTGCTAAAGACTATATAAAGAATCATAATAAGAGTTAAATAATATATCAAAATAATATACAAGATTTATTAATATTTAGAATGATATTTTCTATTAAAGTAGCTTTAAAATTATATATATAAATAGTTTTAATTATAGATACATTTAGAAATAACACTTAATAAAAATTTAGAATAATATGATTTTAATTATAAAATGTATTACAAATGATAAAAAATATAAAATTTTTAAAAAATTATGTGTAAAAGAAAATTTAAAAGATTTTTTTTAAAATAATAAATTAGATTATATTATAATAAACAATAGATTTTAATAGCAATAATTTATTATAATCATATAATTATGATATCATTTATATGAAAATTGTAATTTTATCAAATAATATAATCTATAATAATATAACTTAAGTTAAATTACTTATATTAAAATTGTTAATTATAAAAATCAATCAGATAATATTACTTGAATTATTTTATTATAAGTAAAATATAATCATAAATTAAAATGATAATCAAAAT